ATCAGTCACAATATGATATTTTGCTTTTCTAATGGAACATAAACATTCTCAGTATTTGGCTTTAAAAGGCCGATTCTATTTCTCTTTTCCTGTACTTCACCCCCCAAAGCCTGGATTCCATGCAGGATTCAGTTGTCCATTAATGATGGACCTTTTCTGTGAAGAGTTCAGCCCTTGATCTCTATTTTTTCCCTTTAAGTTGAGAAAAGAGGTTGAGAATATAAGGAATTGTGAAGAACCCATGCTCCAAAGGGCAGAACTAAAGCATCCAGATGGTTGGAGGGTAGGATTGGGAACTTGAATCAAATTGGGGAACATTCAGAGACACTTGGGGAGATGGGTTTTAAGATATAAAAACTGGAGGGACAGAACAACTGGTGATGGTCAAAATAAATGGGGATGTGAGATACAATAGGAGAAGTCCTCATGGTCTCTTGGTTAGTTGCCACTGTGATACACTTCTTGGGGGCCATGACAACGTGTCCTAGCATACTAAGTGGTAACAATGCCAAGAGCTTAGAGAATTCTGTGAGCTCCTCTTCAGGTCTATTCTGGGCCTTGTCAAGTCCAGTGGAAGGCAACCTGGCCAGAACATGCTGAACTCAGAAGGCCTTTCCTGTATGGTGTCTTCAACAAGTATTTGTTACCTATTATATGACAAACACTATGCTAAATTCTTGGGAAATATCAGGGAATAAGACATCATCCCAACGTTTAATGGTCTTAACATTGGGAAATACATAAGCTATGACAACAAAGTAAGCTTGCTATAGTTTAGGTCTTAAATGTCCTCACAAAGGCACCAGTCTGTGTGCCATTGGGAGATGGTAGAATCTTCCAGAATTGGAGCCTTGGTAGGAAGTTAGGTCACTGGGGTTGGGAGTGAGTGCCCTTGGATTGGATATTGCAACCTGGGCCCCTTTTGGTCTCTCTCTCTCTTTCTGGCTTCTGTTAGGTGACTGCCACATGGTCCTTACCACAAATGTTCCTTGTCACAGATTTCAAATCTATGGAAGCTACCAACCATAGACTGAAATCTCTGAAACCATGAGCCAAAATAAATATTCCTTCCTTATAAGTTATCACAGGTGTTTTGTTCAAGTGACAGGAAGCTGAATAGCCAAAATTCTAAATAACAGTCTTCTTGAGAGGCATATATAGGCACTCTTAACCCAGCCTTGGGTCTCTGACCTGACCCCTCCTCTACTAGGCATTTTGGGATTGAAGTAATATCTGTAATGGCAGTCCTTGTAGTTTTGTTGCCTGCTTCCAATCCTTCCTCTCACCATTTCTCCCAAATGTGAAGACATCTACCTACTGTTCACTGCTACATTTTCTGAGGCTCACTGCCTGTGGGCCTAGTTACCCTTCTTTTATCAGCTACTTGTGCCTGAAAATATAGCTGGCAATAATTCCTACCTTTCTGAACATGCATGACTGCCATGGTCTGAATGTCTGTGTCTACCTCAAAGTTGTATGCTGAAACCTAGTTCCCAGTGTTCCAATACTAAGAGACGGGGCATTTGGGAGATGATTAGATTGAGTAATTTAATGCCTCATAAAAAGTGTCCAAGGGGGCTCTGCTATGGTTTGTATGTGGTTTGTCCATCATGGACTTAGGTGTTAAATTCTTGGTCCTCGGTGTGGCAATGTGAAGTAGTAGAACTTAGGGGGAGGAGATCGGGTCTTTGTGGGGGCTGCCCTTGGAAAGGTTTAATGTAGTTCTGGTGCAATCCAAGTTAGCGTCCATGAGAGGGTTTATAAAAGAGCAAGACTAACCCTTCCTCACTCTCTGGCTTCTTTATCACTTTGTACTCTCCCTTTTACATGCGCTCCTACCTCAATGCCATCCACCATGAGGCCTTCAGCAGGTGCCAAACTAAGAGAGCTTTCCAATGTTGAAACTCCAGCCTCCAAATCTGTGTTCTAAATAAACTTCTTTTCTTTATAAAGTATTGAGCCCCAGATTTGTTTATTTTTGTACTAGGGATTGAACTCAGGGCCTTCATACTGAGCTACTTCCCCAGTCTTTTAACATTTTTTAAAAAAAAATTTGAGACGAGGTCTCACTAAGTCACTAAGTTGTCCAGGCTCAGAGTGAACTTCAAGCTCAACTCCTGCTTTAACCTTCCAGAGTGTTGTAATTATAGGCATGTACCACCACACTTGGCTTCAAGTCTTTTTACAGCAATGGAAAAAAAAAAAAAAACTAATTTAAGCTCATTCTCCCTTTCCATCAAGTGAAGTCATGGCAAGAAAGCACCATCTAAAAAGAATGGACCCTTACCAAATACCAAATATTCCTGTGCCTTGAGCCTGGACTTCACAGCTTCCAGAACTTTGAATAGGAAATGGCTTTTGCTGATAAGTTCCTGTTTATGATATTTTCTTAAAGCAGCCCAAATGGACCAAGACAATGGCATTCCTCTCACTAAGACAGCCCATTCACTCTCTCCTTGAATACTGACTGGCCTGTGATGTGTTTTGTCCCCCAGAGTGCAGTGAGAGTGACACTGTGTCAGCTCCATGCCAAGGCCTTAAGAAGCTTGATTGCTTTTGCTCTTACTCTCTGGCTATCTTGACTCACATGTAAAGAAGTCTAAGTCATCCAATCAGATAGCAAAAGTTACATTAAAAGACCAGGTGAAGGAGGTCTAAAATCCATAGCCAATACCCAGGCTCCTGACATGTGAGCGAAGCTGGCTTGGACTTTCAGATGATGCAGCTATACGAGTGAACCTCACAAACTCCATGTGGAGTGGAGCTGAGCTTCCCTTTCAAGTTTTACCCACTGGTAAACCCAATCAGATTTCCATCCTCTTTCCTGTCAGGCACTGGTAGAATGGCCCAATGCTTATTACTCAGGAGTGATAGAAACTGGCTAGCTCACTCCCTCCTCTCCCAGGGCACGTGACTGTATTTTCCAGGCTCTCTTGCAGTTAGGCAAAGTCACATGACTAAATTTTAGTCAATGGAGTAGGAGAGAAGCAATGCTTCTCGCTTCCAGGTTGGTTCCCAAAAACTTCCTGTAAAACTCTCTAAACCATTTTCCCAAATCCTAGCTTGACCTACATCAGTGACTTTGGAAGCCATGTGTTAAAACAATAGAGCCCCTAGTTAGGAGGAGCCAGGGTATCTGAATCTACTTAGAGGGATTCTCCCATTCATCAGGAACACATGTTTTAGACATTAAGTGAGCTAGAAATAGTCTTTCTCGTGTTTGAGTATCAAACACTTTGTGATTTGTTTCTTACAGTGTTAGCATTATCTCCATTAACAAACTGGTTAGTTCTCATGCAAAAAAAATGCATTTCTAGGATGCTTCTATTGGAACTGAAAGCAAAAAGGTATTATTGGATAGTGACTGTTTATACCCAAAGTAGAAGAAAATTTAAGCCAAAATAGCTCAATAGTGGAGTTAAACAAATCCATTTAGTCTACACAGAGTACTGGCCTAGGGGTGTCTCAAATAAAGCCCTCTGCTTTCTTCTCTAGCTTGCCCTGTCAGATCCATCTGCAGCAGCATCCAGTCAGGGTCTGCAAAGGCAAAAATGTGTCCCTCAACCCAGGAGGTCACCCTAGGTACCCCACTACCTCCTCCCCAGCCTGCCTTTGACACTAACCAGGCCTGCTGCCCAGATTAGCTCTTCAAGCCTCTGGGTCATTGTGCAGATTATTCCTGCCTCTCTCGGGCACTTGAACCTGACAACAGGATTGGAATCTTACCCAGATCCCCATCATTATTTTTGGTTAGTTGTTTTCTTGTTTCCTTTTCCCTCATTCAGACTGCAGCTCTATGTTAAACCCAATTTTATCTGGTGGGGACCTTAATTTCTGTCTTTTGCTATTCTTTGTCCTTCCCTAGACAGGACTTCATGCCTCCAGCTCAATATTTGGTGTCCTCGCTGACAATGGATGTTCAAGAACTATCTTCATAACTCTTAAGGATTTAGTTAACTTCTGAAGTCACTGACGAGGTCCACCTGAAAAGTTCTGAAGTAGAACAAGGTTAAAGTGCCTACTGGACGCTTTTAGATGGCTTCTTCAGGGGAGATGGTCATTTCATTCAGTTTACATTTCACTATTTTCCATAGCTCTGTTGTTGCTCATGACTGCCTGCTTGAGTGTGGAAAAGTCATGCCACTGTGCTGGTGTCTTAGTCTCTTTCTACTGTCCCTAGCCTTGCCCCACATTGTCCATGTCCATTTTTCATACAGCTGCTTCACTTGTTATGTCTTGTATCAATCACTACTAACATCCTTACTCATACACCTGCTCCTAGCCAGGTCCCTTGTGGATGTCAGTTCCCATGTGCATGTGCAGTGGATGTCAGTTCCCATGTGCATGTACTATGACCCCGAGTGTTCCTCACTCTGATCACTCGACTCTCTTTTCTTCTCTGGCTCACGAGTACCAAAGGAGCTTTCTCAGCCCCAAGTAAGAACAACCAAGGCCTGGGAATTTGATATCTCTCTGCAGTTACTCAAAGGGCTTCTAGGGGTTTGAGCTCTAGATGCTCACAGGGATAGCCTACTTATTAAAATACCTTTTATGGGCCTTTTCTCCTGTTTTATTTTTCACATTTCTTCTCTTATGCTATGTGAGATTTGCATTTTATCTTGTGGCATGCTTTTGAGAGATTAAAAAAAAAGACCTGTGCACTGTAAGGATTGTTGCCATTATTAACTCAAGAACTGACCCTTAATACTAGCATTTGCTGTCCTCTCTGAAAATTCATGAACACTATTACCGAATAACTTACTATGTCCTTCTGTTTTGTCTCTTTCTTTTCTTCTTTTCCTTCACCTTTCATACCTAGTTTCTTCCAGTTAGTGATCATTAGGGTTTTTTTTTTCTTTTTACTTTTACTACATGATTTCAGAAAGGATTCATCTATCTTCTAAAAAACCAAAAATTTGAGACAGGAAAGGTTTAGCTTCTAGAAATGTTCTGGAAAAGGATGTCATTTCTTCAAAAAACAATGAAACAAACAACCTTACCTCCTTTCTATAGTACACAGTCCTTTACCCCGAAGCATCTCAAAGCTGTAATGGTTCCAAAGGAATCCATGATCTCGGCACTTCAGGCTTTGAAGTTTGAACTGTTTATTCCATCAAGGTCATGCTGAGATCTCCTCAAACCATGTGTCCTTTCCTCTGATTCTATTTGACCTTTGGGTTCCAGTCATGTCCACTACTGGCCCAGGCTGCTACTGGCAGGGTCATGGTTGGGACAAATGTGTTTGTTCCTCTTCATGCCTCATGTTGTCTCTGAGCACACTCTAAAGCAGTGGGACTTGGGCATTAGTGGCTGACCTTCATTATTTGAGCTGCTTGCTCTCCTCTGTCAGAACTCATTGTATATATTTAAAGTGAACTGTTAGCTTCACATAAAAGTGCAGGAAAGTTTACAGTCAGCGAGTAGTCCAAAACCTATTCATTTGTCATCTGCCACCTATTTTCTAGTTCAGGTGCGAAAGATGTATTTGTCCTGCTGTCATTTCAATTTCTTTCCATTCTAATTTAAAAATTTCACATCCCTCCTCTACTCTAAGGCCATTTTGCTTTTTCATATATAGAATCTGTGACTTTCAGAGTCATGGAAATGATGTGTTGAGAACTCCAGAGAACTTCTTAGGTGTTAAAGCTGGAGGGATCTAGAAAGTTATCTAACCAAACCCAACCTCTTTGCTTTCCAGGAAAACCGAGGCTCAGAGAAGGTGAAATGACTTCCCCAAGGTCAGATGACGAAGCACAGGGTGAGCTGCAGAACACAGAGGAGAAAAGCAACCTTTCTCGCCAGAGCGTTTCTGTCATCAAGCAGTTTAGGGCTTGAGATCAGGAACCCCCACTGTTGGCCAAGGCTAAGGCTGCTGTTGTTTTCTAACTCAGCCTTACTACTTCCTTCTTCCAGTTGAGCTTTAAACATCTCTTGTGTTCACATCTTTTTACAGAGTCGTTATTCAATTCAATAGGGGACTTCCTTTCTGTTTTCTGAAAGTTCTCTGCAAAACATGAAGGAGTCAATATTTTTTCAAAATTCACCATTAGCAAAACCTACCATTAACTGAATATTTTCCCTTAGAATTGCCCCAGAATGCTTTCAGTTCTTTTGCCTCATGTGGGGACAATGACTCACATTGGATATTCCATCAACAGTGCCCCTGTTCACATTGAGGCCAGAGCAGAGGTTTTTTTCCAACCAAAACAGGGAGGTGTCATCCATTTGTTCAAATGAAATAAATGTTCTCTGCAGCTTGGGCTCCTGGGCAGTAGACAAGCCAAATAAATGTAGAATTGCTCTTTTTTCTCTTATTCTATGGCTTCAGACAGAATACAATATCTATCCATTGTCTAACACAGCCCATTAGCCACCTGGCTGACAGAAAATAATCTTAAATGGACACTTTGAAGATGGGTCAGCCCAAGGCTTTTCCCCCATAGGTTTCATTCTTAATAGAAAACTATATTTTGCATTTATAAAACCTTGTCAGTCAAAAATCAGGGACTATTCTAAGTCACAATCCCTTTTCTCTAAAGGGAATAAGTGGTACTTGAATATTGTTATTTTTATTGTTAATAATATTATTTTTAAAAACACGGGAAAATGCCAATCTAATTTTTTAAAGCAATAATTCCTTTTCAACATGAAGCCTATAAAAATCACCAGCTATACAGCCTTTGAGCTTCATGTCTTTCATCTATAAAAAGTAGACAATAATCTCCACCTGGTACACTGGTGAGGGATAAAGAGAGCATTTGTCACAGAAGTACCTGATGCAGCATCAGTGCTCCTTAAAGGTAAAATCTCCCTTTTCTCCTAGGCATATAGTCTTTGTGATAGTCAATTTGCCCCTCTTCCTACAAGCTCAAGGATGCCCCCTAGTCAACCAGGACAGGTAACTTGGTGCTTTTCTCATGATGAGAGGATAGTAAATTTTGTTGAATAAGTGGAAATGAAGCTTTATGTGACATCCTTCCCTATGACTGGTCTACAGAACTGTCTCTCTATTGAAGGTCTTTGGCCCACACAGAAAAGTCAATCAAAGACTCTGACCTGCAATGTAAATGAGCATTCTTTCAGAGAAAACCATAGGACAAATTGAACTCACATCATTTCAAAAATCAAGAAAAAGTCCCTACTTTAGTGTGGCTGAGTAGGCTCATACTAGACTAACTCTGCCACAGATAGCAGCTATATACTCTAGAAAAAAAAATTAAAACTAACTAACTAAAGGATCTGGTGAGCAAGCAGAAATACACAGATCTGAGAGTGTAGTGAACCTTGGGAAACAGGAGGGGAATGGGTTGAGGTTCCGATTTGTACAGCTTTTATTGTGAAGTTAGCCCGTGATGTAGATGACACTGCAAAGTGCTGCTGAAACTCTTACAGAAAATCTAGTCTTCCAACCTGAAAACTGAGGCAGCCTGAACCCAAGTCACAGAAAGTGAGCTAAAAATCCTAAAAGCCGAGGCAAGCAATTCTAAATTCAGTGTGTTTTCCCCAAATCCCTACTTAAGTCTTGAACCAAAAACAAAGGGAAGATTCAAAGTGTACCAGGTGAGGATAAAAGAATTATACTGAGATTTGAGTTACTGCCTAAAAAACACAGTTTTAATTTGACAACAATCAATTTTCTTGCCTACTTAAAAAAGAGAAGCACTCTTTGGAAAACATAACAGAACTCAGTCTCCATGATTTCATAATATCCAGTTATAATCTAAACTTCATCAACATATGAAGCACCAGGAAAATGTAAACTTTTCTCAAGAGAACAGAAAATCAATGAAAATCCCAAGACAGCTCACATGTTGGATTTAGCAAACAAGGAGCTTGGAAGTAACTACTATTACTGTGCTTGGTTACTTGAAATATATGGCTGTGATAAATAAAAAGACAAAACTTTAACGTGAGAACTATTATACAGAACCAAATGAAAATGCAAAAACTGAAATGTACAATATCTGAAGCAAAAGTTCATTTAAAAACTCAAACCTTATTAAACAATTATTTCTAAGCGTATTTGCATCACATTAAGTTATTTAGGGTGAAAGTAGGGGAAGCAAACGGAAGAGAGAAGAAGCAGAGAGGAAACGGAAGCTAGAAGGAAAAGTAGCCAAAAAAGATAAAGCTTATAATCAAGCAAGCCTCCAGAAAAAGAAAAAAAGATACAGAAAAAGGTGGAGAGAAGGAGAAAATGATGCTGAAGAAAATACAGGAAAAAGACTCGTGAAGAAAGACTAACATAGAAAGAGTCAAAGAATCTTTAGCTTCACTGCTTTTAAGTTGCTCTTCATTTGGCATGATCTGGAGGAGTTTATAAAAGACCTGAATATATGGCTTCTCATCACCTTTAAAATAGGGTTTTGAAATGCCAGGCATTGCTTAATAAATTGCTGATTTAACTTTCAGAACTGCCACTCTTAATTGGCTCCAAAGGTGAGACCTGAAGCCACAATCACCTGAGCAGAGGTTAAATTCTTCATTTTCACACTGCAGAAACCAGAGAGCACTCTGGTGACTTCTACCACCTATGACAACTGTCTGCTTAGGAAATCCCAGCAAAGATTTCTTTTTACCACTGTGAGTGGGACTGGCAAGGGATGCATATCTGAGGCTGTAGGAGCCTGTGAAAAAAGCCCTATCCCATGGAAAATCCGCCAGGATCTTGTCCACGTTCCTCATTCCTACTGCCTTAACACAAAACTCAATGCCAACTCAGCCTGTCAGGGGAAATTTACAGTTCAACAGAGGATTCTGGTAAATAGAAAGACCCACAAAGACATACGAGTACAAAAATTTAATGGCAGAATTCCAGAAAAAGATCATTTTTATTAGAGACAGGGAAGGTTTCTCAAAGAGGACAGACCCTGTGTTCTGGATTGAGAGACAAAGTTGGACAATGACCAAGTGATCCAAAGCCATTGGTAGACCATTGTCCAGCTGTGAGCTTTTGGACCACATGTGGTAGAAACGACTGAGCAATTTCTAATTTTTATCATAATGTCACTATTCAGATTCAAAATCAGATATCACATTGACACTGCTGTATCCTTTTTCCATTCTATTAAACCTTTAATCTTCCCCAAATATGACTATTTTCATTCTTACACCCTTATATGGAGATAATGTTCATTTTCCTGAATTGGTTGTGTTATTTCTGCAAAACAGTTTTAATCACAAGTCATTCTTTATTTGCTTTGAGAGGTTATAAGAATTAGTCTGTAGATATGGGTGTGGGGGAAAAGTTAACGAGAATTTTAGCATCATACAACATCAACAAAAATGAAGGGAGCTTGGTCTACATTTAATCATTAGCTGCATTTTCTCCCAGCTGGCAATTCAGAAAAGGTTCTATTATAAAGAAAGAAAGCTACAATTGGCTTTAGTATAAAAGCTCTTTTTTTACAAAGTAGATGCTGATTTGTAAACAATGCAAGCCTTTTTTCAATGGATGCCCTAAGTAAGTTTAGGCTACCTTTTACTTTTCAACAAAATCAATTTTAGCATTTTAGGGGATGCCATCATTTCTCATCAGTAAGAATAGACTAAGTTATGGGGTGAATAAAATTGTGCTAAGTACTTAAGGTGTTGACTATTTTTGATGTAAAAAAGAAAAAAAATTCCTTTATTAGATAAGTAATTCAAAAAATTTTAATCACAATTCAACTTGTCATTCTAGGTGTGCGGCAAAATAAATAAATACTATATGACTTCTATTGTCAGACAAATTGTTCCAAAGCTGTACTTTGTTGTCAAAGGATAGTAAGACCGTGGATACATATGGAACCAACTTTTTTTCCCAGGTCTAATCTGAGCTGTTTCTGTTCCATTTTTAAGAACGGTGTTATTGAGATGCAATTTACATACCATTGTATATTTACAGCTGTGTTAAATACCACTGTTATCTAATTTTAGAACATTTTAAGCACCCCAGAGAGAAGTTCTGCACCCAGTAGCAATCATTCCTTATTACCTTTCCCTTCATCCCTGGGAAAGCACTAATCTACACTCTATCTCTATAGATTTTCCTATTCTGGATATTTCACACAAATGGAATCACACAGTGTGTGGCCTTTTGTGTCTGGTTTTTTCAATCAGTGTATTGTTCTCGAGGTTCACCTATGTTCAGTGTGTATCAGTATGTCATTCCCTTTATGGGTGAATAACATTCTACCATAGGGAGGTACCACATTTGTTTTATCCATTCATTAGTAGGTGAGCACTTGGCTTGTTTCCATTTTTTTTGGCTACAGTGGTAAATTGTTTTCCACTTCACTCCTAGAGTAGTAAGGATCCTTCCAGTGTCTAGGAGACCCTCTGTAGAGCTGATCCTATATTTTGACCACATAGCTGAGAATGTTAGTTCCCACACAAATCATACCAATAACCTCTTCTTTATTCAAAGTAGTGGCTCTCAAAGTGCTTTCCTTGGACCAGTTATCAGTAGTATCACTGGGGAACTTGTTAGAAATGCGAATGATTAGACTTTATTTCAGACCTACTGAATCAGAAATTTTGGGTGTGGGCTCAGCAATCTGTGTTTCAATACAGCCTCCAGGGAATTCTCATGTAATATTCAAGTTTAAGAATTACTGACATACTCTTAGCAGGCTTCCATTTATTGCAACTTATCCTCAAATACAAGGCTGAGCATTTCAATATTAAAAGATGCTATAAAGTAGTACACATTTAACTGCCTTATGACTTGAACTGGGAGTCTACAAATTCTGGCCAATGAGCTAAATCCTACTAACCCCATGACTTTATAAGCAAAGTTGCTTTGGAACACAACCATACTCATAATTTTAAATGTTGTCTATGGTTACTTTTGTGCCATAGTAGCAGATTTAAGTAACAGTGAAAAATATTTAGTATCTAGCTCTTTATAGGAAAAGTTTTCTAATCTCTGGCCTAGACTATTGGCATTATACAGGAACATTATGATGAGGTAGATGTCAGAGTCCAAGTTAAAAAAAAAAAAAAGAAACGCAAGTAT